GCCGAGGTGGCCGCGCCCTGGCTTGGCGCCAGGTTATCGGGTTCTGGAAACGGCTTTTGGGCTCCCACCCTAAATCCGTACCGGCGCCAGTCAGCGGCCAAACGGGTCTCGTCTCTGAATTCTTCGTCTTTTTCCCCCTGGAAGATGTATCGAGGTGTTTTTTCAGGTCGGGAATGGAGGAGGGCCCGTGGAGCGGACTGTGGAGTGACTCTGTTACTCCTGCTAAACCTGTCCTAGGGTCTAGGGAGTGCTCCCCGGTAGTCTTCCTGCAACTCTGGAGCTATTTGCTGAGGTGGACCTTTACACGTGTGCCATGCCTTTTCCTTCAGTATAGTTGGCTTAGTATATTGAACCTGTATGTTGCAAGGAGTACAGTATATATGTCTAGATAAATGAGTTAAAATTGGGATAGGAGGACTAACTTTTACAATGTTTTGTGAAGGTAAGGTCTGAAACAAAACAGTATTCTTTCAGGCTTCTGGATTTTTTTTTTTTTTCTTTTGCTTAGTGTGTCGCTAGCCTTTTGTGTAATGCCAAATGTCAGATGATTGCACATGCTTTGTCAACAGTTTTGTCTTGTCATATGAAACTACTGGCTGGGAATAGTGAGAAGGAGAGTAGTTTAAAGAGCTTTCGTGTAGTATTTTGAGCATAATTTACATCTGAAGTTCTCGTGTGTACATGTTCTTTTTGGAGGCTTTAATATTTTCGATTTTGGTTTCAAGTCTTAGATATGTTCCTGAACGGTCACTGGATTAAAATGTTTGGGTGGTGTTTTTTTTTTTTTTGTGTGCTTTTGACTCATCAGAAATATCTAAAAAGTAAAAATTAAAATGGAATGTATAGATTAGGCTGAAATAATGGACTAGTGGGAAAGGGGGGAACTTGGATTAATTTAACTTTTAATAGGGTATTTTCTACAATTGACAGGATTAGTAGTGTGTTTTTGGCACAGTTAGATTGATGCGTACTCATGACAGATTTTTTGTGATCAACCTCCGTACCCTCTGCTTTTTAGCTTGAGCAAAATGGCTTTGTTGACTATACAGACCCCAATTGTAAATATTTATTATTCCAATTTTGAAATGATGGGTTTTAACAGAATTACTGAACAGCCACTAGTAGCTCGAATGAGGTATTTACTTTCAAAATGTTTGGTCAGAAGCAATTGGTTATTACTCTAGTCAGTAACTAAAGCTGTTGTGTTAAATAGTGCTAATGCTTTATAGGAAGTTTTTTATATCTGCTGTAACTCCTGAAGATGTATGGGTGTGAAAGAGACACATCCCTGTTATCAGAAGCAGTTGTCACGTAATCCCCTTCATGAGCTGATTGTTTTTTGTCAAGATCTCAAAATTAATGAGTTGCCTAATTTAAAATGGGACTTTTGCTTCAAATACTTGAACATAATAAAACAGGGATAGAGTCAGCTGTTTTCTAAAAATATATGTTGTGTGTGCGCTACTTCCTGAATTAAGGACCTGGTAAGTAATACTGATCTGATAAGAATGAGTGAGAACGCTCATTTGGAATGAAGCAATCGCCACTAACTTCTTGGGGAGCTTCATTTAGTGGTAGACTTGCGAGTTAGACTGCACTTAATCAAGTCTGTTATTTAGATTTTTGATGTTTTAATTTGAAGTGTTTTTGGTACAAGATATATCACAAAAAATTTGAAACTTAAGATGACCTTGATAGTCAAATGTAGTGTTACAGCATTTAAATAAAAGGTGAAGTTCAGGTGTTTAGGTTATCATTCAAATCACTGTAAATTCTGTATTATTAAATTGTTCTTTTCAACAAGGAACTCTTTTACTTTTGGATATGCAGCCTACTTGACTAAAAGTAATTAATACTTCTAATTGTTTTTCTTAGTTTGGATGTACTTCCGAGAGTGACTTGCCCAAATCATCCAGATTCCATTTTAGTAGAGGATTACAGAGCTGGTGATATGATTTGTTCTGAGTGTGGGCTAGTAGTGGGTAAGTAGCTATTCATATTTTTATGAATTACCATATGACTGAAATTGTGTATGTAGATTTGTTTTCCCGCAAAACTGGTATATGATAGTTCTAGTATTAAAAGGCTTTTTCGTGATGCCTAAATGTTTTCTTTTATCATGTTCTGTTGTATAAAAGCTTACTGTTTTTAAGTAAGTACTGTCTGTCTTCTGGTAACTTCTTGCTTTATGGAAAGAACCAAACTCTCTCTAGATTAAAAATTTAAAATATGTTGTTGTCCTGGTTTTGGCAGGGATAGAGTTAATTTTCTTCCCAGTAGCTGGTACAGTGCTGTGTTTTGGATTTACTAGGAGAACAATGTTGATAACATGCTGATGGTTCAGTTGTTGCTAAGCGGTGCTTACACTAGTCAAGGACTTTTCAGCTCCCCATGCTCTACCGACTGAGAAGGCTGGAGGTGCACCAGAAGCTGGGAGGGGGCACAGCCAGGACAGCCGACTCAAACTGGCCAGAGGGACATTCCATACCACGTGACATCATGCTCAGTATAGAAACTGGGGGAAAGCTGGCCGGGGGGGCCGCTGCTCGGGGACTGGCTGGGCATCGGCCGGCGGGTGGTGAGCAATTGCACTGTGCATCACTTGCTTTGTGTATTCTTCTATTATTATTATTATGATTGTTACTATTTTACTTTATTTCCATTATTAAACTGTTTTTATCTCAACCCATGAGTTTTCGCGCTTTTACTCTTCCAATTCTCTCCCCCATCCCGCTGGTGGGGGGGAGAGTGAGCAAGTGGCTGTGTGGTGCTCAGTTGCTGGCTGAGGTTAAACCTTGACAGTTGTAATTTAAAATAAAATGTAATACTGAATTAGAATATTGTGCTGTCTAGTCCAGTATTCCGTCTTTAATCATGACTGTTGTTTCAGTCAGGAAAGTGTAAGAAATGTAATAAAAGCTTCTTTGTCAAATAACTTGCTTACAAAAAAAAAAAATTCAGTTTCCCATTAGAGGTTATCTTCTGCCCTGAAGGATTTCTCTTTATATCCTTGCCAGCACCTGTTTTTGTTAATTACTTCTCCTAAGGCTTTTAATACTATCCAAAGTAAATATCCAGTTTTTCCTCTGGAATTTTGCTGAGCTCTTTTACTCTGTTCATGTGGCAGCAACTTCCACAGGCTAAACTGTATTTCTAAGTATAATGGAATATTTAAAATGAAACGCCTTTTAGGCATTGTCTTTGTTTGAATGAGAGAGAATCACGTTGTCTTAGAACATGCTGCATATTCATTTTTATGGATCTCTTCTACAATGAGCGTCGTATTGTCTTTATTCCTTTTGCATGGGAAACTTTTCATGCTCATGTTACGATTATTCTTTAAACCTCATTTTTTTCTATTAAATTTTTTTAGACATGCCATGACCAAAAGAAAAACCTCTGTTTTGACGGTGCGTGTTCGGGTGATTCATTCAGTGGTGCTAAATATTTCAGATGGTTTTATATCCCTCTCTCCCTAGACTGTGGTGATTTTGTTTTGGCTCTTGTCTTGCACTGAATTAAAAACTTTCATACAGCTGTTAGCATAAAGCTAAAGGTTTCATAAGCTGCAGCAAAATAGTACTAATTTAGCCAGGTGACTAAAATATGTGTCTTTTGTTTATGCAAAAAGCAAACTTCCACATAGCTTATTGAAGTAAATGTTAAAATATTTAAACTTGAGTACCAGTTTCCTTTAAAATTATGAAACCATTTAAAAAGCTAGGGGGAGGATTGTTACTTTCTTTGTTAAAAGAAGGGCTGGTTTGAATTGTATAAATTCTGATAAAGATAAATTAATAATCATAAATTTGCTGGTTAAAAAGTCAAATGTCCACAGCAATGTTTCCTATTGAAATATGGTAATAGGCTTCTAAGTCATTGCTTAAAAATAGTTTGGTCCGTGTTCAGCTCTTTGCATGGCTGCCATAGAAGTCGAACCAAAGTTTAGAGAAGCCCATCTTGATCAGTTCATAACTTTTAAGATCATGCTGGCTTTAGAAGAAGAGGAAAAGGTTTTGCTTGATACGTTTCATTTTTAGGAACTTGGGAGTTTATCAGAAATCTCACTTCATGTACCTTCTGTTACCCAGTCACAAGGTATTCTTGCTTTAGAGATTTAATCTCTGGTCTCTTCTGAATCAATGGTGTTAGAGATTTCTTTAGTTCAAGTTGTCAGCGTTTTTGATGAGCAGAATCATTAGAATATTAATACAAACTTTGGCTGAGTTGAAATTTTAAAATGTTTTTAAAATGGTCTTAGTCCTCTTTACAACCAACATTACTGGTAGGGTTAAAAGTGTGTTTTCTTTAAGCATGCAGTGTTAATTTTAAGTAGGCCTTTCTATGTATTTATCACTAAAAGGCTTTAACGTTTACTTTCGTTGTGCTGATTGTTCTCATTCTGTCTTGTCTTCCTTAAGCAATTTAGTTTACCTGCATATGTCCAATTCATTAGCTAGGGTATCTAGCAGCTAGTTTGGCAAACTAATTAAATCGGATGAAGCTAAATAATTGAAGAGTGCGTGACTAAACAGAAGTGTGAACATTCAGCGTTTTCTTTTCCGATCTGTTAAGAAATTTAGAGGAGGAGAGAAGCAGATCCAATTCTTGATGCCTGTTTTCTGGAGATGCGTGTGAAGTAGGGATGTTTTAAAGGAGTGAAGACAAAATTTTGTTTCCAAATGAGAAAACTTTTATGTATTTGTTGCAGATTCCATGATACATGTTCCCCTTAAGAGAGCAGTGATCTTATTTCCTTTTCTTATATAGAAAAGTCGTGGATTTGTGTTTCAAGGCTTACATAGGTCATGATGTGTAGCTGATGTGAATAGGGCCCACCCAGAATATATTTTGAGGTGGGCTGAAAGTTAGTGAGATCTGTATCACTGAAGGGGATCAATTAGAACAGTTACAAAAAAAAAAAAACCCCAAAACCTGAAGACTCAATATACTCTGTAGCCAAAGAAGCATTACAGGTTTATTTAAAAATATTGTCATTTTGGTGTCTGCAGAGCACTGCTGATGTACGTGGGGCAGAATGGTAAATGCTGAATTTGTGCATTTATTTTACTGTTATAAAATACATAGTGATGTGACTTCACTGATTTTTTTTTAATTTTTTTTTTTTAGCACAATTTGGCTGAAATCAGAGCAAAGAGTCTTTGACTAAACTAAGTGTATTTCCACTTGATGTTTTTCTTGCTGCTATGGCAAAGTACTAAAGTTTCACCTTTAACAAACTCAAACTTTATCCACAAATGTAAAACAGTGTGTCATAGGATAAAATAGCAGGTGCATAGATAATTTTCAGGTTTTGTAATCAATCTTCTGGGAATATGAGATGAAATCAGTATTATTAGTATTACGACTGAGGTTGTATTTATCAGGTCTGTAGCTGAAAGGGTGAAGCAATGGCAAAGTTTGGGAGAGCAGGAGGCTAGAAGGAGGAGCTGATCTCTTTTAACAGTTGAATTCCATGTCTTAGGCAGAGCTGTATATTGGAAGGAGGTCCCCTTTGTAAAGGGATTTTTGAGAGAAAGACTTCTAATCAAAGTTGTTTTGTACTCATAGGTGGTGTTCTTAGTGTCTCAATAAGATCGAAATTTTAAGTTACATCCAGTGTGCTGCTTTTTCTTTGCACAGCGTTTTTCACTTGTTCTAAATAAACTGTGCTGTTTTACTCTGCAGTATTGAAACAAATCTTGTAACGTCAGTATGACTGAAGCTGGTGGCTGTTTCATTATTGCTTCAAAATAGAGCTTCAGTCTGAAAACTGTCATCTGCCTTCTCACTGTTACCTTTCCTGGGTTAGTTTGTGTTCCATTTTTTTCATGGTAACTGTTTCCACCTTGTTAACTTTTCCTCCTGCTAATTGCCTTTTGCATGAAGAGCAGTCGGAGACCTAAATTGCAATTATCTGTGGAATTTTGATATTAATCTGGATTGACGTGCACCTGAAACCTTACAAGTCTATGTCCAAGTTTATCTGCTGTCATAACTCTTGTATTTTATTACACATACTTTTCTCAAATCATTCTAGGATGTGTGGTACGGTAAGCATTCATGTGCTAGCTTGAGAATTCACGAACAGAGTTCTTAGTGTTTGGAGAAATAGTTCTGTGTCCATTTAAAATGCTGACATATCTCATTCTTCAGGCAGACTTGGTGGGGGGAGAAGCATTTTGCTCAAGAACACAAGGCTGGTAAATCCTCTTTCTTGACAGGTAAATATTTTGCTTACTACCTTTTAGGCAGTAAAAAAGGCTGGAAGTCAGCTGATATGCCAGAAGGGGCTGAAGAAAGCAGAATCGAAGTGGAATACAAAGCACTGAATTTTCTTGATGTAGCAAGGTGGTGAGCTGAATTTCAGAGGGGGATAAGAATGAGTCTAGTGGCATGTGCAGCCGTGTAGCATCTCAGCTAGGTAGGAGTACCTTTCTGATCTAAGACATTCCTTAAACTTCTGTATAGTTTCATTAAATGTCATGTGAGTGTGCAGGAGTGGAGCAGCGAGGAGTTTATTTTCAGCATTTATTAAGTGATTTTCTCTAACTGGTTAGCTCTGTCTGCTTCAGTGGGCAGGTGTGGCTTAGGGAAGAACAATGCTCTTGTACGGAGTCTTTTTGCATAGCCTTCTTAAACAAAAAAGCAGAAGTCTGTCTTCAGCTGATGAGAATCCCTGGACGCGTATCAACTTGTTAAAGCTTTGAATCAGATTATGACCCGTAGTCAAATGTTTACTCCATGTTCTTTATATACCTGAGTGTTCAGTTGAAAGAGTTTTGGGGAAGAATGTACAATAGCTTGTGGTCAGCAGTAAGGCTGTTATAAAATTCTGTCAGAATATTCGGTTGGCTAATGCTTCTGAAAAGTTTGAGATCTAAATGGCGCATCGTAAATTCAGGTATGGTCTATGAAGAATAGAGAAGATTTAACTACACCATGGATATTTTTTTCTCTACAATATAACAAACGAGTAGAA